CAGTTTATCATTGCACCAATCAGAGTTCTAAAGTCTTTTCAAATTGTTTTTCTTTGCAATGTCATATAAATTGTTCTCCTAATTTTGCTTTCTTAACTCTTTATTAAGTCATTAAAGGTCTTCCCAGTTTCTTCTGAAACTGTCTATTTTGCAATTTCTTACTGCACTCTATATTCCATTATGTTCTTCTACCATAATTCATTTAGCCATTCCCCAGTAGATGGTCACCCCTTCCTTTCCATTTTTTTTTTTGCTACTATGAAAAGACCTATTATACACATTTTTGTACGTATGCATCCTTTTCATACATGAGGCATTCTTTCTGGTTTAAAAGTAAGTGAACTGAAGCTCTGGTTTGACATGTATGCTTAATGAATAAAAATCAACCCCAAGCAGCTAGCACAATGACTTGTACATAGTAATGTTTTAATAAATACTTGTTAATTCATCTTTACTTATACTTCTTGAATAATCTAATTTTTGTTTAATGTTCCCCACATTCTTATTTTTTCATTTTATATTATTGCTAGAAATAATATAAACACTAATAACTCTCCAGGATTGATCTATGGGGATTTTTTTTAACATTCATTGTATGTCTCTCTTCAACACCCTATGTGCCCTGGCACATACACTTATCCAAAGATGCCCCACAGAGAACTGGTGTTAGACATTCTGTTGCCCTGTGCAAATGTCGTCTCCCATACAATAAACATGTTTCCTAGGCTTACATATCCTTAGCTAATCTGAGGAAGGAGCTGTAATCATCTGTCCCTTGAGAAGGATATGCTAGTTGCCTGAGATGAGGAAAATACATAATGACCACTTTACTCAATAATTGCAATATGTTTTATTATCATTGATACAAAAATTTAATAAGCCATATCCTAGTTGATTTATGAATGTTTTTTAATTTACAATCTCTTCAGTATTTGCATGCTTTTTTTCCTGAGTTCTCCACTCACCTCTTCTAAAGCAAAAAAAAAAAAAAAAAAGGTTTGCTGTATTTAGGTATTAAATGACATTTCCTTTCTCTCAAGCAACATAATCAGACTGTCAGAAATGATACTTTCTTCCTGGCTGATTGATAATGAGAGCTCTAGATGCGATGGTGGCAAATGTTTCTGTTAGATAAATGACTAATTTGAGGTTTATTTAAAACTCTTTTAATTTTACATAGATTTATTTTCCTTGCTAATTAAGTTCAATGATTTATTATTATTTGTTGTACATTATTTGTATTTTTGTTTTGTTTTTCAATTGAGACCTATGATTTGGGGAACTTAGGATATGGTAATCTCCTGCACTGTTGCAGGTTGGCACCTCATTTAGTCTTAGAGAATTTCCTGGGACACTGAGAGATGAAGTGACCTACCCGTGGTCACATAGCTACCATATGTAAGAAGAACTTGGATTAGGTTTTTTGATCCCAATGTCACCCTTTGAACATTATGCCACATACTCTCTCATTATATTTGTTATATTGTAGATTTTTCTCTCCCTTGATGATTTTTCAGCCAGGAAACTCAACATTCCAATTTATGAGATTAAAAATTTAGATTCAGTTTTTCAGTCATTTTATTAATCATGTCCTACTCTTCATGACTCCACTGGGGGTTTTCTTGGAGAAGATACCAGATTGGTGTGCCATTTCCTTCTCCAGCTCATTTTACAGATGAAGAAACTAAGGCAAACAGTTTAAGTGACTTGTCCAGGGTGACACAGCTAGTACGTGTCTGAGGCCAGATTTGAACTCAGGAAGATGAGTCTTCCTGACTCCAGGTACTTTCTCCACTGTGCCACCTAGCTGCCCCCCAGATTTAGATAACATCAATTAAATCTGCTTATACTTTCTGAATTTAAAGAGCTAAATAAAAATAAGCAAAGTGCACATGCAAAACAAAACACTTTCTTAGCATCCTTTAACCACAGACTATTGAATGTGTGTAGGGAAAACAACGCCATTATACCAAAAACAAGCCGTAGAACTGTTACTGTAACTGTTTCTGGTTCAATTAAATATCATTATATGTATTTTATTTACATTTATGTCCATGTTCTGATTCTGCTTGTGCACCAAAGAAATGTATAGTTAACTATCTTATGAAGCGATGACATATGGAGCTGGAAAGGGGACCTTAGAAATCATGCAGTTCAAATATGTCGTTTACAGGTGAGAAAACTGAAGCCCTGACTTGCCCAAGCTCACACAGGTGATCAGGAGTAGTGTCAAAGTTTAGCCTTGGGTTCTCTTGTCTCCAGATTCAGTATTCTTTCTATTGTACAATATTGCTCTCTAGCTAGTTATATTTCTGATTAGACCCTCAATTAGATCAGTAAGACAGAAAATAGTATATTCCAGTAGCACTTTAAACTATGAATGTTTCTCTGTCACTTTAAAACCTTTACTGATTGAGCACTAGTTGTCATAGGAGCCCTGCCTTCATTTTCATATATATAAATTTATTTTCCTATGAACTCATCCAGCAGGTCAAAAATCAGAGAATATGTGTGACTGGAAGGTCAAATACATTTCAAAGTCATACAGAATGCAGCTACTTATGAATGTCACAGTATAGTTTGCCATAACAGGTCCGTGATTTTTAATTAGTTGAAAGTAGTAACAAAGATATAGTTTTGAGCTTCAGTTTGCTAGTGTAAAACAGAAAAGAACATTTTTACAATCTGTCCATCTTCTATACAAGACATCTACTTTGAAGGTGCATCATAATTTGCCCTGGCTATACTTACCAGAATCATCTCATAAGAGATTTAGCCTTAACAAATACGTCTGAGGTATGTTGATTACTGCTATGAAATATTAAAATTTTATATTCTGTTGTAAAGATTATTGTGAGACACAAAGAAACCAAGTTTTAATAACTTGAGATTTTCTAAAGCACATTAACTCAAACATTCCTAATTTATTTCTTTTTATCTTTGATGATGCTAGAAGTTTGTAGTGAGATGAACTCTGGAGGCAATGTAACTTAAAGCAGAATTGACTTCTGATTTTAGAAAGAAAAAACAAGTTATGTAGTACAAGCTTTTCTGGGAGCCAGGAGTGCCACTTGCTGCTTCTGAGAGTGTGAAAAGAAGTCTGGATTTCCCCAGAACCCATTCACTTACAGGCTATTTTTACATGCATATTCACAAATGTGTGCATGCACACATGGACTCTATAAATGTTCCTAAGCTTCACAAAATTGCACATTGAGTTCTTATTCTTATCTCTTGAAGTAAGACCTTTGTCGTCAGTTACATTTTCATCTAAACTATATTCAATCACTTTTCAATAGGACTTCCTCTAGTAAATCTGATAAATTATTTTCTTACTAAGAATTAGTTATGCCAATTTTTCCAAGTCAAGTCAACACATCTCAAAGTATCTTGCCACCTAAATTATAGAGCTATCAGGTAGCATATCAGTTGTAATAAGAGCTATCTTCATTGCTTCTTTCTTTACTTTGTTCCTTTGTTCCTTCCTTCCTTCCATTTTTGAGTAGTGAAAACTCATGTCAGCTTTCCTATAGCTGCCAGTTGTCTTATTTTGTGTCATAATATACTATATTTTACTCAAATTTAGATTATCTTATAGAATATTGCCTATAGATCACAGTCATGTGATATCGTGCTTTTAATTCTATCATACATTCCTATTATTTATATCATATTATTGTATTATTTCTTTTCTATTTGTACCCATATATTAATCATCAGTTAGGGTACTTTTTAGTCTTAGCTTGCTCTTTTCATGCTTTTGTTTATTGTTCTTCACGTAGGTGATCTCAGTGGAACTGCTGACCAGCAGTGACGCTTCCATGTGTTAATTTTCCAAGTAAACTCCAAATATGTGGATTTTTGCTGTAGTCTAGATTCCAGTTCTTTGAGACTCTCCCATCTTCAGGCCTGTTTCTCATTACTCAGACTTGCTTTTACATAATTTCTCTGTGAATCTTACTGTGGGATATACCCTTATTTCCATGCATGTATGAACCATTGACATTTCATTTTAATCTGTACCTTTGATTGAGTATTTTGGAAAGAATGTAACATTCACGAAACAATGTGTATTTGACTATTTGGTGGCGTTTGATACATGCTAGTGTATGGAAGGAATGTTAGATTTAGAGTCCTAGGACCTAGGTTCAAATCCCAGTTTTTCTACTTACTGGTTGTGTGACCCTGGGCAAGTCATTAAAATTTTCTCAGCTTCAGTTTTTTTTTTAATGAAAATGAAGGAAATATAAAAATAAAGGGGTTGGTCTAGATAACTTCTGAGGTCTCTTTCAGCTCTAAATCTTTGATCTTATTTGTTGTTTGATGGTTTCGCTGCTGCTTTTTGAGTGATACTACATAGCCTTAGATTTAACTATCTCATCTTGTTTACTCATAGAAGCAATTGAAGGGTTAACATTTTATGCCTCTTCTTTAAGGTCTTACACTTTGCTTTCTGTTACAAATTTACCGACAAGTGACATCCATGAGAAAACAGTGGACAGTCACACAGAAACTCCGCCAAACTTTTTTTTTTTTAATCGATGTAAATCTCCTGTGCCGTTTAAATGTCGGTACTAAATTTACCAAACTTGGCAGATACGTAAAGCTGAACAGGACTGCCAAGTGTTCCCAGTTTCAAGCAGAGATAGTTCTAACAGTTCCTGAAATACTTGTAGGAGGCACCTGGTGGTAATTGCAGTTTCACAATTCTTCCCAAGCGCCTACCTTGCTATCTGGCATCTCTGCACACAGATGATTATTACAGTGATGATAAAGTGTCAGAATAGAACAGTCCCAAAATAAAGCTCAGCCCCCAGAAGATAAACACATTCCCACAAAATATCTCCACTGGAGAACCCTTAGGAATCAGATAGAGGTTCCTGACATTGCAGCCCAGCTGGTTATAACAAATATATTAACACACACACACACACACACACACACACAAACACACACACACACGGCTTCTTTAATTTTTTTTTTTTTTAATTTTGAACCAGGGGTTGTTGTCTGAGATTCTGCGTAAGGAAGAAGACCCTAGGACAGCCTCCCAATCTCTGTTGGTAAACCTGAGGGCCATGCAAAATTTCCTCAATCTGCCAGAAGTCGAGAGGGATCGTATCTATCAGGATGAGAGAGAAAGGAGCATGAACCCCAATGTGAGCATGGTATCTTCAGCCTCCAGCAGTCCAAGCTCCTCCAGAACCCCCCAGGTAAGATCCTAGTCCCGTTATCCTCTTTTATCTTTCCTAGTTGACAATTTTCTGGCACCAGTAATGGATTTCATTTCCAAAATATGGGGGCATGATGAGGCATAGGTTACCATAATTCACTGAATAAATCAATATTTTGATTGGATAAACACAGGTGTGTAACAACAATGATTTTGCAATGATGTAATACTTCCTTTCCTTTAGAGGGTTCCTTTAAGATAGAATTCACTATTCCAACCCCTGTCTTACATGCTCTTCCCTGACGTAGCTGTGAAAGAGGAATCAAAACAGGGAGGAATACTAGATAGTTGTAGCTCAAAATAATTGGGAATTTTACACAGTGCAATTCAATGATGATCTTCCCTAAGTATAGGAAAAATGAATTTTGTAAGTCAGGAAGGTAACTATTTGTTATTACTTGAGATTACCTTCTTAGGTTGGCCCATCTACAGGATTCTGTAAGCTTCAGTGACTCATTCATCTTTCTATCCAAAATATATATTTGTAAACACTATTCTCTTTGAGGGCCTTCGCACAAAAGTCTGCTTTTGGAAGAAGTCATGTGTGCCCACCAAGGTCAAGGCTATTGCAGAAGTGTAAGGCCAAAGTTCTAATAGAGATCTGAGCCTTTTCCCTCCCATTTCCTACTTTTTTAGTAATCACATGGCATAACCATCTTGATTTAGGGTTTCTACAGCATCTATAACATAGATAAGTTATAATTGTTAAATTGCTTTATGTCACATGGTCTTTGCTCAGTTTTTAAATTTGATTCTGTGTATTAATACTCTGGTTATTAATGGAGCATCCTCTGAACTAGTTAGGCACAAAGACAGGGTTTTATTTTATTAAAAATGTTTGAAGTTGTTCAATAACATCTATATCTTAGCATTTTAATATACTTTACAATGTCTGCACTCTACAAAGATTATGGAACCCTCTATTTAGAGCTGGATTAGGAGACACCTAGTCTAACAACCTCATTCCACATATAAGGAAACTCAGCTTCCAGGAGTTTGTGATTTGCCCAAGGTCATACAACTAATAACTATCAGAGGTGGGATCTGAACCCAGGTCCTCTGACTGCTGCAGTGTTCTGTCAATCAATTAATCAACATTTATTAAGTACACACTGTACCAGATACTGTGCTAAGTGCTAGGGATACAAAAAGAAGGAAAAAACAGTCCCTGCCCTCAAGGAGCTTAAAAATCTAATGAAGGAGACAACGTGAAATATTATACATATATGTGTGTATATACATATATATATATATATATATATATATGCAAGCAAGCTATATGCAAGATAAATAGGAAATCATTAACAGAGGGAAGACCCTGGAATTAAGAGGGGTTGAAGGAGGTGTCCTGTAGAAAGTGAGATTTTAGTTGGGACTTAAAGGAAGCTATAGAGGTCAGTAGTCAGAGCAGAGGAGGAAGAGTGTTCCAGGTGAAGTGTCTTGTTTGTGGAACAACCAGGAGGTCAGTGTCACTGGATCCAGTGTCACTGAATGAGGGAGTAAGATGTAAGGAGACTAGAAAGGTAGGAGGGGGCTAGGTTATGAAGGGTTTTGAATGCCAAATAGAGCATTTTATATTTACTCCTGGAGGCAATAGGGAGCCACTGGAGTTTATTGGGAGGGGGTGACATGATCGGACTTGTGTTTTAGGAAAATCACTTTAGTGAATGAATGGAAAATGGATTGCAGTGGAGAGAGACTTGAGGCAGGCAGACCCATCCACAAGCTATTGCAGTAATCTAAGTGTGAGGTGATGAGGGCCTGCACCAGAGTGGTGGCAGTGTCAGAGGAGAGAAGGGGAAGTATTTGAGAGATGTTGCAAAGGTGAACTCGACAGGCCTTGGCCACAGCTTGGATATGGAGGATGAGAAATAGTGAGGAATCCGGGAGCTTGAGGGACTGGGAAGATGATGTTGCCCTCTACGGTAAATATAGAAAGTAGGAGGCGGGAAGGCTTTAGGGGAAAAGACAATGAATTCTATTTTGGACATGTTGAGTTTAAGATGTTTACTGGATATACAGTTCAAGATCTCTGAAAGGCAGTTGGAGATGTTAGATTGGAGGTCAGCAGAGAAATTGGGGCAGGAAAAGTAGATTTGAGATTCAATCCATGGAAACTGATGGTATAGAGGGAGAAGAGAAGATGATACAGAACAGAACCCTGGGGGACACCTAAGGTTAGAGGGTATGATCTGAAGGAGGATCCAGACAGAGGAAGAGGTCAGATGAGTAGGAGGAGAACCAGGAGCGTTGGAGTCCTGAAAACTTAGAGAGAAGAGAGTATCAAGATGGAGAGAATGATTAGCCCTGTCAAAGGTTGCAGAGAGGTCAAGGAGAATGAGGATTGAGAAAAGGCCGTTGATTTGGCCATTAAGAGATCATTAGTAACTTTGGAGAGAAGTTTTGGTAGAATAAGTTCAGAAGTCAGATTATAAGAAGAGAGGGCGAGGAGGGAAAGTGGAGACACCTGTTGTAGATGGCCTTTTTAAGGAGCATAGCTATAAAGTGCAGAAGAGATGATACCAGGATGGAAGGATCAAGTGAGGGCTTTTTCAGGATAGACATGGGCATATTGTAGTTAGTAGGAAATGATCTAGTCGATGGGGTGACATTGAAAATAAGTGACCAAGTAAGGATGACGGAGTAGGCAGTCTGTCAGAGATGGGGTAAAATGGGATCGCCTAAACAAGCAGAGCATTTGTCCTTGATGAGGAGCAAGGCTTCTTCATCCCGTGAGACAGAGATGAAGGAAGAGAGAGTTCCAGAAGGCATTTGAGTGATAGATGAGAAAGAGGAGAAAAGAGAAAGCTCATAGTAAATGGTCTCAATTTTTTTCTGTAAAATATGAGGCAAAGTTCTCATCATTGCTAATATCAGGATGTTTGTACTTTAGTTAATTATAAATTTTGGTTTTCATGTACAAAATGGATGATTTGAACAAAGGATTCCTGTTCTTGATTGCTTTGGAGATGTGTTGCCTGACATTCATTTGCATTTTTGCACTAGTTATTAATTGGAAGAGTTCTCAATTTTTACTGCATTTATTCACTAATACAAAGACTCACTAAAAACAAATCCAGTGTTTTATAAGAAAGTCCAATCATATTTTCTTCATTCAGTTATTACAGTGCTTTCCTTTTATTTTTTAATACTTGTTAACTACATCGCTGGTTTGATTATTTTGTATTTACTCCTTTATGGTAATTTTCTAACAGAAATGTGTTCTAGGAACATTGTTGAAGACATAGTTATCTTTCAAGCACGAAGCTTTCTGTAATTCCATAAGTTGAAATAGTTATTTGCTTCCTCCACACAGTTGAAAATTCTAGTTAGAAAATTCCTAGACATAAGTATCCTTTGGAGACCAATTTAATTTCAGTGGTTTCTGAGCACTTTTGAAAATAATTTTGACTATTTAAAAGTGTTGTGTGAATGTAGTCAAACACTATTTGATCATTCTCTTGATACTTTTAATGTCTGAATAAAAGGTGAATAATTATACTTTCAAAATGCTTACACTATTGTCTATTCAGAATGAATGAAAACTTAGCTTCCACTCTAGAGTGACAACAAATGGCCCAGAGAAATCACCTTATTAGCATATTTTGAGTCACATTTGCAGAAATGTCCTTTCCATCTCTAAAGCCATGAACCTGTAAGCTTAAGGGTAAGATTTTTTCTTATTATGAAGATGGAGATGGAGAAATCTTTTGGTCAGCCCTTAGGAGGAAGATAGGCTTTTCAATCAGAAAAGAGGAAGTCAAGAGTCATTGGAACTGTAGGAAGGGATGTATTGGACATGGTAGATGTCATTCCTGATTAGAAGTACACAGAGCTGACAGGGAGGTTGAGGAAAAGGAAATGAATCTAGGACTTGTTGAAAAAACTATATGAGGAAATAGATTAGTTTATTATTAAAAAGACAAAGGAGGTGAGTTAGACCATTGGTGGTATGGATAAAGTCAGCATTTTATAATCTAAGTTACCTTCCACTGTTTGGCATTAGTTTATGAAACTGTTTAACAGATCTCATGGAGGGAAAGGAAGGCATTGATAATGAGAATTGTTAATTGCCAGGGCCAGCTTCAAGAAGCCATTATAGGTATTCTCAGGTGGATGTCTCAGTGCCCCACCCCAAATCTTTTGTACTTTACATGTTTTTCTAAATTTGCAAATAGTCCTGTACCATATATCCTTTCAGATCTAGGCACAGTCCAAGCCAATGGATAATTATTCAATATGCGGTATAGCAGATTGAAAATGTGAGGTATTCCTTCTTGTGGTAGGGGAGTCACCAAGACAGTTAGGGGTTCTATGGAGGGTTAGTAGGCTTCCTTCCACAAAGAAAACCAAAGTTTAGATGATATCTGTTATCAGTTCACTAACCCAGGTCATTGAATATAATTTGTTGCTCAACATGTTAGCCCCTGATAATAGTTCTCATACAGCAACAGTTGAAGGTTGCGGAGCCCCCAGCTTGTTGTCACTCCTCATCAAAGCCTTACTGCGAAGGACCTTTATTGAAATGAGAAGCAAAATCTGTATTTGATCTTGTGGATAAAATTCAAACATTTTAGGGTTATTCCAGTCCTGAGGAGCACAAACACCTTCTATATTGTCCTTCATTTGTCTCTGAAGCTGATGGGAAATCATTCAATTAAAACGAGCATGACAGAATACATAAAATCACAATATGAGTTTAAGAAAATGAAAACGGCATGTCAAAGGCATTCTGAAGCCTGGTTTTATGAAATGAAATTTTGTTTCATTTCCACTGATTTCCTAGGTGAAATTAGGTGACTGTCTGGGTAGCATAATGATGATAATGATGAGAAACCATACATACTCAAATGACATACGTATAGCTTTAATAAAGAATGAGAGAGACTCAGGGGAGTGCATTAAATTGAGTAATAATTTATTATTTAGAGACTTCTTCCCATTTACTCATTTTTTATGGGAGAATTGGTTGTTCCTTTTGCCATTTTTAGGAGAAAAAAAGAGTAACTCATTATGTGTTTTATAGTTTAGTTTTCCAATCAGACTTTAATGATTTCTGATAGCTTAGTTTAGTGCCCAGGCTACCTGTCTTACCTGTGAAACATTCAGTAGACAGTGAGTGAGAGGGAGAGTACAATGTTGACAGGGCCCTGAACATCCTATAGGAATGCACTGCAATTATTTCCAATCACAATTAACCTGATTAGAATAATGGACAGGAAGTGTCCCTCTGTAGCTAATGCAGTTTGGCATCAGCTGACTGAAATCCTTTGATAATTTCTGCACAGATGGCTGGGCTGAAAGCAGCACTTTTTTAATTATTATTTTCATGGTCTCTTGGTAGGCCAAAACCTCGACACCGACAACAGACCTCCCCATTAAGGTGGAAGGCGCCAACGTCAACATCACAGCTGCCATTTATGACGAGATCCAACAGGAGATGAAAAGGGCCAAGGTGTCTCAAGCCCTGTTTGCCAAAGTGGCTGCCAATAAAAGTCAGGTGAGTGGTTTTTAAAAGAGCAAATGCTAGGGCTGGAATTAGACCTTTTTCCTCCTCCCACCAATAAAAATACATCTGTTCCTATAATAATAATAACAATAATAATCCCCAGGGAATCTGTCGTGTTATGCCTTTTGTCTTCAGGATGGCTTACATTATGGTTTGCTTTTATGTTCAACAGAAGACAAAATATAGTCCAATTTATAATCCAGATTTAAATATTATATATACATTTGTATATGTGTATTAAATATACATACATGTAAACTCTTATTATATATGTATAATATATAATGGAGAATGTAGGGCTACCTTTTGTCATATCTGTACGTAAGTGTGTGACATATATGACATGCCTTGTCATATACTATATGTATGCATGTGTATATGCATATGCCATTTGTCATATAGATATATGTATACATGTGTGTATGTATAGATACATGCATATATGTGACAAAAGGCAGCCCTGCATTTTCTGTCCTTTCCAAATTCTCAGATTTGCTCTTCTTCTTCATGTATTTGAGTTAAATCTTGAATGAGCAAAACAACATACTTACAAGATTATAGCCAGGTAACATCCCCTCCTTCCTTATTCCCAGCAGGGGAATGACTTACTTTGTTATAATAACCACTTCTCACAAGCCCTAGAGACACTTTGGGATGTCAGGTGTTTCTTTTATGTGTAGTTTTTTTCATGCAGAAAACATACATGGGGGAGTCCAGAGTAAGTGCTAAAATTCTTAAAGGGAAAAAAAAATAGCTTATCCAGTAACATTTTTTAGAGTATGGGAAATGTGGTGAAAGTGGTACTCTGGGGAAAAGGGTAGACAGCTGCTTAGTTTTTTTTTTTATTTTATTTTTTTTTTGTTTAATTTTTGAAGCAGCTCTAGTTGATAGGATATTATCTGTCTAAACTCATTTAAAGGGGTAGCTTCTGACCCATCCCAGGATCAGTATATTTAAGATCATGTCTGCTTATGATGGGGGCACTTCTGAGAGATATATCTTGGAGTAAACACAATTTGGTGAAAGCATAGGCCTGAATCAGGACTCTCTTTGTACTTAGGTTCTTGGCTCTGACTCTTTCTCTGACCTTGAGGCCTCTCCAGTCTTCCATTTATTCAGTAGTGGTGTGGAACTTGTCATCTACCATGTCTTTAGTTGGAGACAAAGGCAGTTTATTGAATATTTTTTAGTCAAGAAAGAAGATAATTTAGATTTAATAAAAATATATAACCAGAAACACAAAAGTGAGGGAAAACTAACTAAGACATTACAAATAACAATATACTTATAGGACAAGCTTTCTCACATTGATTTGAGAGTAATATGATGTGGTTTAGTTTTCAGGTACAATATAGAGGGAGAAATATCAATGGGGCTCATTGAAAAAAGTAATTTGATCCTGCCAGCTCTGCATTCTAGTTAGTATCTCTTAAGATATTTATTCTTATCATTGAAATCCATGAATTATAACTTATAAAACATGAAGTCCAGAAGTATTATGAAATACATAAAAAGAAAATGCTATCCAAACCTCTTAAGCAGTTAAATGCATAAAATCCCAAGTACCACATGGCAAACTATAATGAGAGTTGGGGCTGCTAAATGAATAAAGCTGTTAAATGCATAGTGCCACTTGGCAAAACTACTGTGCGTTTAATGGTTTTCCACTATGTAATAAATGACATATGTGGTCAATGTGCAGTGTGGATAAAAGCTACACGATTGATTTTGCAAACGTGTGCCTTATTCTCCACTTCATGTAAATATCAGCATTTTACATAGTTGTCTGAATGCATACTTTTATAAGGAACCTTCAAGAATAACTGAGGACCACAGTCTATGAAGCTTACTCAGAATGTAGACAATCTTCCTGGATTTTATACTCTGAGCCCTGGAAATAAGGAGTCACAAAACCACCCAAAATAATTTTGATAGCTCAGTGATTCTGGTGTCTACCAATTAGTAAAATCTCAGCTTTGCCGCTAATTGCTATTTTCCATTAAGAATTAAGGTAGCAACTTTCTTGGAATTTGGGAGAAAAGGATAGTTTCTAGATTTTAGTCTGAGTACAAATGAAAGGAAGCTACATTAAAGCAAAGAGGTGTGATGATACTTTTTTATGGGGGTACCTTTTTAAATTCTCATTTAGGAATTGGAATCCTAGCACCAATTTCTGAAGCTGGTTAAGTGGTCAAACTTTTTTTTTTTTTTAAACAAGACGATACTTTGCAAAATGAATTTATATTGATGGTTGATGAAAATTGTTTACTCTTATATTTTATTTTTGTTGTTTAGTCATTTTCAGTCACATTTGACTCTTCTTGATCCCATTTGGAATTTTCTTGGCAAAGATACTGGAGTGGTTTGCCATTTACTTCTCCTGCTCATTTTATAAATGAGGAAACTAAGGCAAGCAGAGTTAAGTGATTTGCCCAGGGTCACACAACTAGTAAGTGTCTGGAGGCCAGATTTGAACTCATAAGATTGAGTCTTCCTGACTCCAGACCCGGTATTCTATCCACTGTGCCACCTAGCTGCCCCTTTTTATTTTATACGTACTCATAAAGTCTTGAGCTTTTCCTAAATGAGTTTGGTGAAAACCCAGACACACAGTTCATTAAAGGAATTTATGCTTTGCACAGTATGTTCTCTGACTTAATTTCTTTTGCTTGTATTATATATCTGATCACTACAAAACAAAGTGTTGAATGCCACAGCTAGTAGTTAAGCAGGCCATTATATAGTGAAACTTAAGGGATCTCAACTAGTTTGTCCTGAGTTTATGTAAAACTCAATATTTAAGAGTAATAGTAGCTAGCATCTATATGGAATTTTAATGTTTGCAAAGCACTTAATAGATGTTCTTATTTGATTCTCAATTGTTGTGACTGTATATCCCATGCATGGTGCTAGATGTTGTCCCTGCTTTCAAGGAGTTTACATTCTACTGGGAGTGGGGAAACATGCTCTTTCCTGTTAATGATATGAGCTAGGGGTGTGATAATAAATGAAGATGAAATAGGCCATGTCATCTTTTCACAAGTTGGCTCTGTCCTGTCCCAAAAGTCAGTGGCAGAGAAGCTCTGGATTTGTAGGTGCTTGACTCAGTTTCAGATTATCAGTTCACTGTGCCAACTTATATTGCTGCTCTATGTAACATCACCATTTATCAGGTTTATGAGGTACAGGGTTGTTTGTAAAGGTGAGAAGTGGAGAGAAGGATGATGTGTGGCTATAGAGGTAATCCTATAGTCACTAAGTCTTTGTTGTTTGTTGAAAGTAGTGCCTAAGAGTCATGAAGAACAGTGGGGGCCACCACAGGGTGATGACAAGAGCCCCAAATTAGAATATCTTGGTTCTGTTACTATTTTTATGACTTTGAACAAGTCACTTAATCTCTCAGTCTTTGGTTACTCATTTGTCAAATACTTATACTAGGTGAATTCTTGTATCCTATCTATCTTTGAATCTTATGATCCTGCCCTGTCCAGTAGTAGCCTGTGTTAGAGTTGTTGGCTGTGGAAATAAGACTTCCATACTGATCACTATCTTTCCTTCCTTTCAGTGTGTCTATCTATTCACAGTTTGGGGGTCAGAAAGAGATTGCTCTTTTTCTACATTTTGGGTGCTCCCAAGGGAAGACACATATGCATTTAGAGTAAGAGGGCTAGGCAACTCATTGTCAAGGTCAGATGCCTTCTTTCTCCTGGAAATAACGACAAATAATATTTTAATATGCAGGAGGCTAGGAAAGTAGAGTAGGGAAGGCCATTGGTAGGAGCTGCAAGGATGAACTGAGTTTGGTTAGGCAAGGAATACCTGAGATTTCTCTTGTCTCCCCCTCCAAAAAAACCCAAAACAAACCAAAATAAAACAACTTGCTCAATAATTAGAAATCCTTTGGGATTAATAAACTCCTCTTTTAAAATGCAAATGCCCCCAGAAGACATCGCTTTAAGATGGGAATAAGCTTTAATTTATTAAAATCTGAGTTGTTTTTATCGGGCAAATGTGAGGATCATTTTCTAGATTAGTGAGGGAATGAGAATTTTGATTGGATCAGAGGGAGGAGAAATTTTGTAGGTAATATCTGCTTGTAGTGGGAGGCTTTGAGCAGCCAGAGACTACCTTGGAAGATAGGGAGATGGGCAAGAGACAGGTGTAAAATGGATGTTTGACCTTCTTGGTAATTTTGCATAGCGCTCACTTGATGACTGATAGAGCCCTGAGAGTCACTGCCAGTTAAAAGCATTAGGACACTGGGGGGAAGCTTCAGACCTCAGCTTTACTCAGTTTATCCTGGTCTCCTCCGCTGAACCTAGCCCCATCTACCTTCTCCAGTTCAGATCTTAAGTTTCGTTTAATCCCCATCCCTCTTTCACTCAGATGATGAAAGGAGAAAAGGAGGAGAAGTCACTTACTTCTTCGTTATTTCCAGCGTAGTCCGGTATAATATTCACTGGAATTCCAGTTCCTGAAAGCTCCATCTCTTGTCCCCTGTGAAGACTGAGGGCCTTGTCCACATCTCTTTTGTTAGGCTTTTTTAAAAATAGGATCATAGACTTAAACTGGAAAGGACCTTATATACCATTATGTCTCATCTTTTCATTTTAAAAATAAGGAAACTGGGGCACAGAGAGGTTAAGGGACTTGCCCAGGGTCACACGGTTCTGAATTGTCTGAAGGGGAATTTGAACCCAGTTCTTCCTGACTCCAAGTATAGCACCTTCTCGACCACACTATACTCCTCCCCAGTAATGTCTGTCAAGTCTGTAGTAGTAGGAAGTAATTTCAGAGCATTGGATACAAAAAAGGGGAATTTGATACCACATCTTTATACCACTGAATCATGGAGTATTACAGAATGAACAACTGGTATAATTAAATCATTTTGAAATTAAAAATATACCAAATTATAAAGTCTTATCAAATATTTTGTTTAGTGTCTTATACTCTGTCTTTGTAGATAGGCTGAAAAAAACTCAGCCTTT